GAAGTCAAGATCCTCACTTAACGAGGACATCTCAGGCTGCCATTACTAAGTGGTATAGTTATGCTGTCACACTTTACAACTGCGTCACTTAGCAATGACAGTTTCAGTCCCAATTTATTCACCACCTGTATAAGTAAAATGTGCCTTTAAGTCAGTATTTAATTCCCACCTGAACAAATTCCTGCAGTTTTCTTGGCAAGGGTTTTTTTTTTTTTTTGCCATTGCCTGTTACTTAAGGCTGAGAGGGGATGACTGGCCCAGGGTAACCCAGTGGCTTCATGCCAAAGGCAGGACTAGAACTCAGGGTTTCCTGTTTTCTGGCCTGATACCTTAGCCACTATACCAAAATGGCTCCTATATATGTAATACACTAGTTGATATTTTTAAAAATGAAGCAGGTTGCACCATAGGCCAAATGTTGTTTTTTTGGAGGTACATATGTTCAATCTTGGCTTGCATTGCTAAATTTCAGCTTCTCTTCACAATATTTACTATCTTAAATGCATTTATTGCTGTGTTTTCTTCTCCTACATCTTTATTCATGCTGACCAGGTGTGTCTTCTGAAGTAGATGAAATTTGAATAAAATAACTAAGCTATTGCTTTGAACATAATGTGAACTCTAGAAGCAATCAAGCTGATTGTAAGCAAGCTAGCACTTCTAGTCTTCCCAAGGAGAGAAACTCAAATTATATTGCGGCACTCTTGTTCCACTGTTGTTTCTCAAATATACTAGATACCAGTGTCTATAATCCTCAACCAACATAAGCACTGAATATTATAAACAACAATAAAATGCAAGTGATGGAATACGTAGTCCAATATATCTAGAGAACTCCAGGTTGGGAGAACCAAGTCTGAAGAACTTTTAAAAAAACATGCAAAATATTGTATCTGAACAGATACCAATATATTGCTCAGGAGAGTCCAAACATACACAAACTTTTTACTGAATATATTTCCATCATCTCCTATAAACAAAACAAATGTTATCTCATTTAGCCTTTTAATGGTTTGACTAGCAAAAAATTAAATAAACCCAAACCATCACTGACATGAAAATTGGACAAAAAATAAAATAGAAAAGAGGGTTCTAGACCACTGATTAATTTTAACTTTACAGAGTTTTCTTAACGTAATGCTTTGAATAAAAGATGTTTTTGAAATTCAAAATCGAATTGCAAAATAATCCAGACCAAGCTACAGTTGTTTCTTGATGTCCCCAGGGAAGCTTTCTGGCTAAGACTTCATGTGGTCCCAACATCTTTTAATAATCCTTCCTAATTAAGTTGGTTTGATGGACATTGGGGAATCAGGTGCTCCACAGTAGATGCAAACCTTGTTTGGGCAGGGCAGTAGTTGAACTGTGCTCTACGGCAATCACAGGTTTAGTCACTGGACCAAATACTGCATATTTTCTGTTATGGAGCAAAGAAGCAAAGGGCAAAGATACACTCTATTTATTCGTATAATCTGAACAGTTCATATCTGAGTTGACAAGTAATGTTTTTATACCAGAATACTGTTCATCCCCAAGCACTTTCATCACAGTGCTCATTTTATTTATTTGTTTGTTTGTTTATATCCTGCTTTTGTTATTTTTATAAACAACTCAAGGCAGTAAACATATTCAATACTCCTACTTCTGCCTCTTTTCTACACAACAACAATGTTGTCAGGTGAGTAGGAATGAGAAAGAGTGACTGGCTCAAAGCCAGCAAGCCAGTTTTCATGCCTAAGGCAAGACTAGAACCCATAGTTTCCTGGTTTCTGGAGCAGCACTTTAGCCACTAGATCAAGCTTATTGTTCTGTTTAGTATCTGGGGCTAATAAGATACTAAATTGAGCTCATAGTATATACTAGTTCACTTCTACTATACGCACAGATCTTGGATTTATTGCCAAGTATCCCAAAAAACACAGTTTTGCTTATTTTTAGAAATGTTGGGATTAATTGGGGATGGGGGGGCTGCTTCTGGTATTTGAGGACAACATGGCCCATCCCACCTGATCGCTTTCATGTGTATTTGCAACTTCCTGTTATAAAAGTCCCTAAATAGTAAATACTTTGTAAGGAAAAACAACAAAAGAAAAGGAGTCAGTTGATGTGGTGAAATGCCACATAAGTAACAGTATTGTTATAACCAACTATCATTGAGATGTACTGTAGGTAAATTGCTTTCTTATAGTCTAACTGCCCTCTCTAATCAGATGCCTTGCAGCCATTACACTTCTGAATTACATTTAAATTTGTCATCACTGAAAGGCACTGGGTGAAGGACAATAAAAAGTTGAGGGTCAACATCTAAACATCTACACCAAAAGGGAGTTCCTATCTCATTAGATAGAACTGATCAACAAATGATTTCTATTAATTTAGCCTATATATCCAACTCTAACAGTTGCCCCAGGGACTTCTGATATTGTCTGGAGATGGTTCAAGTATTGACACAGAGAGAGAAAACATATCCTTTAACCTGACATTTAAAAAAGTGTCCTTCTTTTAAAATAATTGCAGAACCGTATAAATTTTTGCACTGGGATTTGTCCTGCTATAACAGAGATTTTTTTTAATGAAGTCCCTCTAGCATTGATGGCCCTAAAGCAAAATACATGAACTTCAATAGTGGGATTGTTTACCTTTAGTGTTCATATATCTTATTGCTAATATTATATCCACCTGCCAGGGAAAGCTTATGGACATGTTTTGGTCATACAAGTCATTGACTTTGGCTGTTATTAACCATGACACTTTATGATATTGTTTTTCTAGTCGTCTGTTTGCAATAGGATCCTCTTTCAGCAAGGAAAGGTCTGTCTGTGCATGATGGGTTTATATTGTGTTGCTTCCCAGTAGTGCAAATGCCCAACTGGACTATGGAGAAAGGATTAAACCCAAATCATCATGCATTAAGTAATTGGAATCATAATGCTTAGAAACCAAATTTCATGTGAAATTCCATGAAGAACCTGAAGCTTCCTTTTTTTATATACAATCCACATAATTGAGCAGTTACTATTCATTCATTAGAAATTGCATTTGTGGGCACAGCAGCAATAAAGACCAAAATTTATTGTACAGGACTTCTCTTCCAATTTGCCTAATTATCTAACATGAACTACTGCTATCTTAATGCGTGGTACAGGTCCACCCTGCTTTCCCACCATGCAACATGGGAGAGATAACATATGATCACACCATAGGTCTGACTTTAATTGGCAAACTGTTCATAAATTCCCAATGACTAGAAATATATTTAATTTGAAATGTAGTCATTTGTTTCAAACAATGCATGATCACTGAGGTTTGAATAATAAGCAACAAGAGAGCTGTCAGGTTTTTCAGAGCTGAAACGAAGAATAGTTTTCTAGCTTGTAGCTAATATTTTAATGCTTAGAATTTTATAATTTTAAATTTACATTTGCCACCTTGGGAATCTTTTTGATTTGTTTTGTCTCACTTGGCTTAATTTGCTTTCAAGCAGACTGTGATTTTACATCATAGTGACTTGACCCATATAATAGCACAAGAAATTCAAGCGTTGTTGAGTTTTTTTTCTTCCCTGATGCTTTTGGGCAATATCTGTCTCTGAGAAAACATTCTTTTGTAAACTCTGTGTTGGACTTATAATCAGGTGACATATTTTGATTCAGCTGCATTTGTCTCCTAAAATTCTGCCAGAAATATTGAATGAGTCACATGCCTGAGCTTATACCTGAAAGCTGGACTTCATAATATAGAGAGCTTTTTGAGGTAAAAGAGAATTGAAGTATTTTTCATTTCAGGATATTTTTTGACATTGCTTAATTTTTGCCTATATAGTATGCACAGGTTTCTTTTTCACTGTAGATTGGTGCTGGAAAATTTATCCCAATATAACTCTTTCTGTGACAATGCAGGTGGCAGCAGAAACCCTACACTCACCCATCCATACCCCTGGAGACAATCTGACTTGTTTTTTCTTGGTGCAAAGCCATTGTGGCTTTTTAAACCAACCACCACTCCAAAATGTGTGGTATGGAAACTTAGCTTCTGTTTGTTTGCTTCCTGTCAGGGTGAAATCTGTTTTTAGAGGATTGATGCCCTCTTGAAGAGAATTAGACTGCCTTACCTCGGCAGTATGGTGGATGGCCTCATTCTAGTATTTTCCAGGAAGCAAATGTGAGGGGAGTGGCTTCATTTTATGCAAATTGGGGAAATTGTTACAGTCACAGCTGGCCACCTGCAATTGCAACACAATTGCAACACAATTCTCTCATTGTGCCTGTAGCTGAGATGTGTAAGATGTTGAACATGTGTATTTTACATATATTTTCTTCCTTCCCTGTATGGAGTTGAAAGGGATACCCATTATGTGCTTCCATTCCACACGATTTTGTTCTCATAAAAAGTACTACAGGTAGTCCTCAACTTGCAAACCACAACTGAGCCCAAAATTTCTGTTGCTACGTAAGACATTTGTTGCCCCATTTTACTACCGTTCTTGTCACAGTTGTTAAGTGAATGTTTAGTTGTTAAGTTAGTGACATGGTTGTTAAGTGAGTCTGGCTTCCCCTTTGACTTTACTTGTCAGGAGGTTGCAAAAGGTGATCACATGATCCTGGGATAGTGCAACTGTCATAAATATGAACCACTTGCCAAGCATCTGAATTTTGATTACGTGACCAGGGGGATGCTGATTGTAAGTGTGAAAAATGGCCATAAGTCATTTTTTTCAATGCTGTTGTAATTTTGAATGGTCACTAAATGAACTGTTGTAAATCAAGGATTCCCTGTATAAAGGATTGAAAAGTAACTCTGTTTGTTTTAGTCCATGGTTTACAACCTAGATGTCCCAGTCAGAGATGAGGACCAGCAAAATATATTCAGGACTGGGGGCAGAGGAACGGAAAATTAGAGAACCATATGGACTCTTCACTGCTCTGCTGTCTGGTTTTCAGATCCTGGTGTTCAGTGTAGAATGACTGATTTCCCAATGACTTTCTCTCTTTCTCTTTAAGAGTAAAAAGGATCGCATGAAGGCTTGGATAAGGGCACACCTCCCTTCCTGGTGCAAGGAGAGAGATTCCTGGTCTGTCTACATCTTTGCTCCTCAATCTAAGTAAGGCAACCCATATTTGACTGGTGAAAGTATGTCGGAACATGCCGGGCTTAATGTTTGCTGAGAGTAGCAATCACAACATTCCTGCAGAATTCTCAGAGGCCAAAATGGCGAAAGAAGCCTTCTTATCTAAAAGATTGGCATCAGTATTCACAAGTTCTGTCTGCATCTAATATTTCTGAGAAGACAATTAATATATGTTATAATCTATAAATCATAACAGAGAAGAACTTAGGGGAAAATTATAACCCAGTGAAAAGGCATGTAATTGGCATGCCAAAAGTCCTGATATGATATGATATTTCCATTTTAAGGAAGTATCTAGTATGAAGTAATGGAGGAATGATCCTGAAGAACTGCTGCCAATTTAGAGAAGTGCAAAGTTTCCAGACAATTATGTCATAGTGTAAAATAGTATATCATGATAGTAGCAGAAATAACTATTAAATTATTTCTAGCTTTGCTCAGCTGCTTATATGTTTTCATCTCACCTACCATCCATGGCCCCTAAAATCCTTCCTTAGTATGCCAATATTACCCTTCTCTTATAAAGCCTTCTCACCAGCAATTTCAATATTATATGAAGGTAATGTAGTATTGCTACACAAAGTCAAATTTTTCTATTACACTTTGGAAGGAATCAGAAACTTTCTGGATCCTGAGGGATTTGTCTACTGCTAAAACTTCCCAATTTCAAATAGTAGTTACCATTCTTCTAGCACTAGTTATTTGATCCAGATAGTTGGGGAAAGGAAGGGAATACAGAATCAATCCCAAGCATCTCTAGCTAGTGCTGGAAATTCCTATCTGAAACCATGGAGAACAGCAGGCAGTCAACACAGACAAAGTATACGTAACCAAACTTATAGCCTCAACTCAAATTTCAATGGGAAAACTCCAAGCATCCTAAGCTAAGCTAAATCCAAAACCACTAGGGAATTCCTGGAAGCTTAGCATTCTGACAAATCAGCCATCAATAGTGCTTAGCAAAAACCCAAAATGGAAACAAAAAAGACCATCTCCTTCAGCAACCAGATAAGCTGGAATTAACAAGAGACAAACAAGCAGAGAACCCTAATAAAGGAACTACTGAGAAGAAAACCCCACCCAATGCTACAGTACTGTATTGTAAGCTACTGTATATAAACAGGGAGCAAGCCCCACACTTACCCGACACTGATGATATTACCTAGTCAGATAATGAGATGTCTGCAAGCAAACAACTAAGCTCAGAGAGCACGAAAGATTCCACAGTTCAGTCCTGAGCTACATATATTCTTTTCTGTTATAACCAAATTTAATATAAGACAGTTTTTAAACTTTTCCTGGGGAACAAACACTTTGCTGAAAATTTCTGCTAGAATCTCACTTTACATTCAATGTACACACTTTCTCTCACGGTCTCCCTCACATACATACAGCATATAGCCATAAAAATTAACACCAAATGGATCCCAAAAATATCTTCATCATAAGCTAATGTCAGAGTAAATTGGGCATAACATTTTGAACAGAGTAGCTCCAGCAATTTTGTGTCTCCGGGTCACTATAAAATGTTTTTATGTCCTTTGGACTATATGAGTATGGGAGGGGGATCTTTTCCTGCATCACATGAGGCTTCCATAAATATGCCTCAAAGTAATTACAAAATTAACAAATGTTTGAAATGCTAATCTACCTTATTACTTCATAAAATGTCACACTTAAAAGAAATGTAAAGTCCAGCTAAATGAATAATCCATCATTCCCCTCTCCAATGTTAATAGCAAGTGGACCCAAATTAGAATAAACTACTGTATACTGAGAGAGAGTGGGGATATTTTCTTGTAATTTCCTTCCCTCAAATTGCTGTTTGCTTGACTGAGAAATTGTCCAGGTTCCTATGACCTTTACCTCTTTTCTGGTTCTTTCAGCTGAACGTCTGCCAACCTGGTGTCTTCCAGATGTATTGGGAGGACAGCTCCTAGAATTCCAAGTTAGGATGAGTGTAAACACATCTGGAAGACACCAGCATGAGCAGGACTGGTTTAACTTTAGAGGCTACTATGAAAAAAAAAAAAGAACTTACATCAAAGCTTTAATTTGGCCTTTCCCAATCCATTTCCTTCCCAATATGCTGGGACTCTATTCTCAGAATTCTCATCAAATACTGCCAACATTTCAAGAACAGCTTACTCTCAGAACAAGTAAGAATGCTTTTCCTCTAGGGTTCAACCCGCCTTCCCCATCTCTTTATAAGTGTGATTAATTTAATCTCCAGTAGTTCTGAGGGTTAAAGGGAAGATTAGGCAAGATCTTTTGGGAGAGCCCTCACACACGGTTTTGAGTTCTCCATCTTCCAGTTCCCTCTTGTTTCCCCTCCTAACCAGTCTTTCTTCTCCCAGCATATTCTTTACAGGTAGTTTTTGATTGACAACCATAACTGAATCCAAAATTGCCATTGCTAAACAAAACAGTTGTTAAGTGATTCATGTGACTGTTAAATGAATCTGGCTTCCCTCGTTGACTTTGCTTGGGAAGGCTACAGACGGCGGTCACATGACCCCAAGACACTGCAGCCATCATAAATATATGCCAGTTGCCAGGTGGTCTGAATTTTAATCATGTGACCTTTGGGTATTGTTATAGTTGTAAGTGTGAAAGCCAGTCATAAGTCACTTTTTTCAGTGCCATTGTAAATTCAAACGGTCCCTAAATGAATGGTTGTAAGTCAAGAACTACCTGTATTGTTTCTTCTCCCTTCCCCACTTTTGAACAAATCATTTTTTTTCTTCCTTCTTTATTCCCTTCCTTGATTATCTACAAAAAGCAAAACTATAGTTACAGCCAACACCTTTTCATAATATTTTGAAGGTCAGGATAGGGATGAATATGGGGAACAGTTGAGGCTGAGGAACTCAGAATCCTTGCCAGTCATTGAATCTAAGGACACTCTTCCCACCCATCCCTTTAATTGCAAGATGGCAAGCATGAACCACTGGCTTTTATAAAAAGAACCATGTTGCCCATCAGGAGCGAGTAAACGATTCCAACAGATCCCAAACAGAACCACAGAAGAAACTAATTATCCACTTCCAGCCTTCAGTGGAGTCCAACTGCAAGGAAACTAGGCCAGAAGGCTGAATCCTGTAGGGAACCCTGGGCAGCCTGCTCTCCATATGCCTATTTTACCTCATAAAAGTCATTCATTCATTCATTCATTCCTCATGACATGTGAGCAGTATCTCACAATTTGAGAAAGATAGATACTGTAGATCAAGACCAATTTTGGTGATGATTTTCTTTAGATGACTTGCACGCAGAAGATAGAAAAGGAGGGAAAGGACAAATGAGGGTTGTCCCTGTCAAGAAAAGTCTGTTTCCAAACAATGAATTGCAGCTGCAGCTCTCTCTCTCTCTCTCTCTCTCTCTCTCTCTCTCTCTATATATATATATATATATATATATATATATATATATATATATATATAACAGGAAAGAAAAAGTAGTCCAATATGAGAATAAAAGGAAGAGGATTGTTTCTCTGCTTTCCACAGGTTTCATTCTACAGCAGCTTCCACTGACTTCTCTTCCTCTTCCCTTTAGATTCCGTATCATATGCAATAAAATCATTTCCCACAAGATGTTTGATCACATCGTCTTGGTTATCATTTTCCTGAACTGTATCACCATTGCAATGGAGCGTCCTAAAATTGAGCCCCACAGTGCTGTGAGTAAACTGTATCACTTCCCAGTTAACGTAGCCACCTTGTCGTGCTGGGTTTATGTGGGACTTTTATCAATATTTGTTCTTTCTATTGGTTTATTTCATCAACAGAAGGTAGAACTCAGAGGGCATGAAAGGGAATAAATGGAGTGAAATTAAATTACCCTGATGTGTGTGCTAAGAGATAGTCCAGACAAAAGATTAGAGCAGATGTGTGTGGCAGCTGTCTCACCATACCCTTTCTGTTTGATTACTGTCAAGGTTTGATCGTTCTGCCTCCCCAATCCCATTGAAGTGAACATTTCTTATAGTTCTTAGAAATGTATGATGTATAGGCCAGTGCTTTTAAAATGATACAATAGGAAGGATTAATGAAAAGCTACCTAAAGAGGTAGTTTGGTTAAGTAGTGCTTCTCAAAAAAAAAATCATTATCCAAAAAAGCTTATCAGAAGGTCCTTTTTACTCAGAAGGTCTGGGAGACATGAGAACGGTGTTCCAGTATCTGAGGGGCTGCCACAAGGCAGAGGGGGCCAGGTTGTTCGCCAGAGCACCAGAGTGCAGGACGAGAAACAATGGTTGGAAACTGATCAAAGAGAGAAGCAACCTGGAATTAAGGAGAAACTTCCTGACAGTGAGGGCAATCAACCAGCTTGCCTCCAGAAATCGTGGGCGCTCCATCACTGGAGATTTTCAAGAACAGACTGGCCATTCACCTGTCGGGTATAGGTTCTCCTGCTTGAGCAGGAGGCTGGATTAGAAGACCTCCAAGGTCCCTTCCAGCTCTATTCTATTCTATTCTATTCTATTCTATTCTATTCTATTCTATTCTATTCTATTCTATATGAAGTTTTTGACTTATGACAACAACTGAGCCTAAAATTTCCATTGTTAAGCAAGACAGTTGTTAAGTGAGTTTTGCCCCATTTTATGACCTTTCTTGCTACTGTCGTTAAGTAAATCACTGTAATTTAGTGACACGGTTGTTAAATGAATCTGGCTTCTTCGTTGACTTTGCTTGTCAGAAAGTTACAAAAGGTGATTACATGATCCCGGGACACTGCAACCATCATAAATCCACGCCGGTTTGCAGTGATCACTGACTACCAAGATGCTGCAATGGTTGTTAGTGTGAAAAAATGATCATAAGTCACTTTTTTCAGTGCTGCTGTAACATTGAATGGCACTAAACAAATGGTTGTAAGGCAAGGACTACTTGTATTTAAATGTTCCTATTGTGTTTGGGTAATGGGTTTGTGTGTGGTTATCCTCCCCCCAAAAAGGCACTTTTATCCAGTTTGGGCTAAAGCAGGGGTAGGCAATCTTGTCTCTTTTATGACTCATGGACTTCAACTCCTAGAATGGCTCAGGAATTCTGGGAGTTGAAGTCCACGAGTCATAAAAGAACCAAGGTTGCCTACCCCTGGGCTAAGGCATCAGGTTAGAAACCAGGAGACTGAATTCTGGTCCTACCTTAGGCACAAAGTCAGTTAAGTGACCTTCTGCCAGTCATTCTCTCTAAGCCCTAGGAAATAGGAAATGGTAAACCACTTCTGAAAAACCTTGTCAAGACAACTGCAGGGTCTTGTCCAAACAGTCACCAAGAGTCAAAAACATACCCATTTATAGAGAAAAACATGCTCTACGTTGTTTTTTCAACCAAAGTGCAACATGCAACTGTTCTCTTGGAAACTGCATAGGATGCATAGTCCCATAGAACTGATAAAGAAATGAATGCAAATGCCCTTATATTCTTCAGGAGATTAGAGAAGGTTAGAGATTTAAACCTGATTCAAATCTAGCCCCCTTTCCCCTTTTGCAATGCAGAGCTTTGAGCAAGTATTATAGGGTCACGAAAGCAAGAACGCAGGCAGTGCTAGTACTGTATCCAAGCAACATCAGCCTCTTGACTTGCTAAGTAGGCTCTCCAGCTAAATCCAAGCAATAGTGTTCAATTCCGTGGCAAAACTGGCTCCAGTCCCCATCCTGGCGGAATTTGTTGATCTGCCATCGAGCCCTAGCAACTTAGTTGTGCATCTGTCCATTATGGATGCACAGTTAGCCTCCAAGAGAGATTTAATTTAAGTGGAAATGCTATTGCAAGTGCTGCTTTTAGTCCCTGCTGTTAGACTAGGGGTGTTGGCTACAAATGAAGCTCTGGACTCATCTGTTTGTAATTGTCTAGTTTGGGGTTGGGGTGTGGGGGGGGTGGCTTTTAAGTGTGTATTATTAATTCCAGCAAGCAATGTTCCTTGTCCAACAGTGTGGAAGGAAGGAAAAAGGAAAGGTTTTCACTATTCTTAATTTTGCCAAACTGCCTCTAGTCTACTTTGTTGTAGCCAAGAACAACAACATCTATATGTTAAAGACATCAAGATTTCCCCTTTTTTGGCAGAGGGGGAGATGCATCCTTTTTCTCGGAGCAGAAATAGCTTACTTGATATAATAATGCTGTCTGTCATACTTTTCGTCAATAAATATTCAAAACCTTTTCTTCCTCTCTCTTTTTGGTCTAGTGCTGGTTTTGGTTCTTTGTCTGCACTTGCATTCCAGTGTGGCAAGGGAGGAGAAAGAGAGAATCATCCCTTTTGCCATTCTTTTTCTTCACTTTATCTCAGTACTGATATGAACAAAGATCTTTATTTTGGTGCTCTGTCGGGTTTGTTTTGCTAGATTTGCATAATTTCTTATCCAAGCCAGATCTTCCAAGCAGCCAAGGGCCAACCAGATAACCCTCACTAATCTGCTGTTCTGTGATTTCATATTAATTTATTGTTGCCTGGAAATGCAACTGTTTACTTGAGCATAGAGCCAGGGTTTCGTGGGGCTTACTTTCCTGTACGTTTAGGGGTACCAATTTAATAATATGCAAAACAAAGAGAAAATGTATTCATTTCAGGCAGCAGAAAGCATTTGGCTCCTTATGAATAAAGAAAAACTGATGTTAAATGCATATTTGGCAAGTTGAATAAGCAATTATTGTGGCACTCTGGGGTCCTCTGAAATCTGCAAGTGAAACATTTCAGTAAAGCAAATTCAGTGTCGGCTACTGAAATGCTTTATATGTTGAGAACCAGCCACTAAAATTTCTGGTTTTTTTTAGCTTTGGTTGTACAGCTAGTAACAAGAATGTGTAAGTTTCACTGGGATTGGTACTTTTATGTGAGGATTCAAACCATGATGAAATAGATTTTAGAGATATTATTATTAACATTAACATTTACCATGAAGGTATAACCCTGAGCAATAGCAAGAGCACTTAGACTTATATACTGCCCCACAGTACTTTACAGCACTCTCTAAGTGGTTTACAGAGTCAGCATATTGCCCCCAACAATCTGGATCCTCATTTTACCAACCTCAGGAGGATGGAAGGCTGAGTCAACCTTGAGCCGGTGTGACTCCAATTGCCAAATTGCCGGCAGTCAGCAGTCAGCAGAATTAGCCTGCAATATGGCATTCTAATCACTGCACCACCACAGCCCTAACTAAGCAATGTTTAGTTCAGGGGTCTTCAGACTTGCCCCTTTTATGACTTGTGGGCTTCAACTCCCAGAATTCCTCAGCCATTGTTCCTAGCAGAGGAATTCTGGAAGTTGAATCCACAAGTCATAAAAGGGCAAGTATGAAGACCCCTGGTTTAGTTAATCAGATTTTAATGGTCTTAAAGTTTCTAACTAGTGCTATTAGGATAATGAAGCAATTTTATTTAAATTTATGTAAGGTCATATTTTGAATAAATATGTTGGGGCTTATTATTCAGGGCTATAATTAAGAAAGTTTTATAATCTTGGATATTTTAAAACAATGCTGTGATTTTGTTATGGTCTGTAGTTTAAATAAACTGGCTGACTGAGCAAAACTGCCACATTTTCATGCTCATTCTACTTTGAGGAAAAGTAGCCCTTGATACCAATACATCCAACTGTTTTTCCAACTGTGTATTAAAATGGAATTCCTTGCAGTCAGTAACTAGAAGCAGATGCAGGCTCTTCATTTCAGTAAAATGGGAACAATAACAAGAGAAACATTATTATGAAAATAAAATGTTACACTCACTTGCTTAAGAGCAAGCCTTCTTGCAATGAATGGAACTTGTTTTTGAAGACAGATGTATGCATTCTGAGTCTTGCATCCTTTGCTGTTGACTCGTACTATTGTCTGTTCTACTATAGACTCTTTCTTCCAGAAGGAATGATGTTTCATTGATTCCTAAAAACATGCCTTCCTACCTTAGCAACTGAATTTACCAGTTCTAACAGAATAGCAGTTGGAAGGTACCTTGGAGGTCTTCTAGTCTAACCCCCTGCTCAAGCAGGACCATTCCAGACAAATGGCTGGATCAGGTGGCTGGAGAATTCTGGGAGTTGAAATCCACATATCTTAAGTTATCAAGTTCAAGAAATACTGATCTAAAGGATGATTTCTTTAAGCATCACTATTAGGAAGCATTGTTTTAACTACTTTGGTTTATTTTTGTTGTTAGAACCATTTGATTTAGCCATAATAGTGTGGTCCAGAGGATTATAAGGCAGTTAATAATTTTGGTTAAGATAGTCAGTCTAATGCTATCCAAACATCATGGACTACATTATCCATAGGCCAGCAGGCATTATCGTTCATAACAGTATGAAGACACCAGATTCCTTACCTCTGGGGTGAACTGTGAATTGTCAGGATATTTTTGGCTCTTCATTTCAGTAAAATGGGAAGAATAACAAGAGAGACTTTATTATGAAAATGAATTTGCATGTTTATAGTAATGTGTAACCTAAAAGTTATATTAACTGGAAGCTCACAGCTGTACAATCAAGCTGTTTCTGGTGCCATAAGTAGCCCTTTGGCACTGTCTTCCTCTTGAAACACTAAAATCTTGAGTGGAGCTAATTACCCACTAATACTGAGGCGACTAAGAAGGAAATATAAAAGTTAGTTCAAAGCGACAGACATTATAGAGAAAGAATGAGGTTTTGTTCACTTAAAATAGGTTACTGGAATAAATAAAGGTTTGACCGCCTGTTCAGAACTGGTTAGCAGGATTTATAATTGTTTTGAAACTCACATTGCATCTGCTTATATTTTTGCTTCGGCTGTATAATTCCCTTGCAGTTTGTAAATTAATGTTGCACTATTGTTCTTTTATTTACTGATGAAAGGAGCAACATTGGCAAGAATTCTACGGTTCTATTTCTGAACCACCCACTGCTTTTAAATAAAGGTAGAAAATACATTTTACTTTAGCTGAAAGAACGGTGCTTGTGCCTCTTAATTAATGTAAATCTGGAAATTATTATGACCCTTCTTGGCCCACATAGTTAGCACAGGAGACAGCACGGTTCACAACAGGTACATCAAAATAGCGATTGTACAGGTAGTCCTTGACTCATAATCATTTGTTTAAGAACCGTTCAAACTTATGTACTTAAAAAAGTGACTTATGACCAGTCCTCACACTTATGACCATTGCAGAATCCCCAGTTACATGATCAAAAATCAGGTGCTTGGCAACTATTTAAAATGGTTGCAGTGTCCTGACCACTATTTACAATCTTCCCAGGGTGCTTCTGACAAGCAAAGTCAATGAAGGAAGCCAGATTCACTTAATAACCTTCACAGAAACGACTATGTGATTTGCTTAACAACTATGGCAAAAAGGTTTGTAAAATCAGGTGAAACTCACTTAGCATCGGAGGTTGTGATCCTGATTGTGGTCATAAATTGAGGACTACCTCTATTGATGACACAGAATTGTGTACGGATAAAAATCCTGGACATTCGTTTTCACAAGGGAAGGACTGTCGCTCAGTGACAGAGTATGTGCTTTGGTGAAGCTGAGACATCTAGAGCATATAGGAGGGTAAGGCTTAAGTTTTCAAGAGTCGTTTCCTCCCACCCTAAAAGATTAAGGAAGAATGATACCGGGTTCATGCATTCCACTTTGTCGTATGTCCCTCTGTGTATGTTGAATTTCTTGGGACGACTAGAATGACATCACAAGTCTTGACAGGAGCAAGGCAGCATATTATAAAAATAAGATCTCCGTCCCAGCCCAAAATCTGGCAGCTGTCCAAGGTGCTAAGAGAGATAAAGGATTAAAAAAGAAAAAGGTTGATCTTGCATTTATTTTAGTGTTGTTTCTTGAAAAGTTTGATAAGTAACAGTTTTAAATTCCATATCTCTCTCTCTCTCTCTCTCTCTCTCTCTCTCTCTCTCTCTCTCTCTCTCTCTCTCTCTCTCCCCACCTTTCCCTTTCTCTTTCAACAGGAACGGATTTTCCTCACTCTCTCCAACTATATTTTCACAGCAGTGTTCTTTGCAGAAATGACCATAAAGGTAAGTAGAATAATCCAGTCTCTTACCATTGCCAATCATCACATTATGCAACTTCACCATCACTGAACTTATCCCATCTACCCCCATTGTATATCACCATGGACATGAATTTTCCCAGATCCATGTAAAGCTCCGTGTGATTGAAACTCATAAATATCCATGAGTGCTGGATCCATATTCCTAGGGTTAGGTGTTAGACTCATATTTTTCCTGGTAAACTGCAGTTTGTTTTAAAATAAGGTTAATGATTTCTGTGATTTTAATGTCTGTGCAGATTGTATATTATTCTGTAAAATGCATAGGTGAGAATGCAAATAGAGATTCCAGTAAGAAAATGCTTTTTTCCCCACCCAAAGTGTATACATTCTTTATTCTTTCCAGAGTTTAAGCACATGCCTAAAATTAAGCTGCTGTTAAAGGTGTTGGGCATTATGGAAAGAATATCAAACATATACTCTTTTATAAAGTGCCTCATCATAGTATTATCATTTCTACAACTACACCTACTTTATACCAACAGGGTACATGATGTTATCATGGTAGAGTTAAATAAGAAAACTACTTGCCCAGAAAATTTGCATTATATTATTTGTGGCAGGAAAGGAAAGGAGAGAAGATTCAGGCAGCAGTAAATGGGAATCTCTGTCTCACCTATCCCATCTAATCTAATACTAATCTAATCTAACACTTCCTGTGAAGTATTAGTACCGCTTTATAAAACCTTAGTAAGACTACACCTGGATTACTGCATCCAGTTTTGGTCGCCACATTACAAAAAAGGTGCTGAGACTTTGGAAAAAGTGCAAGTTAGATGATTAAGGGCCTGGGACAAAAACATATGAAGAATTGTTGCAGGAATTGGGTATGTCCAATGTAGGTAAAAGAACTAGGGATGACATGATAGCAGTATTCTAGTATTGAGGGGCTGCCACAAAGAAGAGGGGTCAACTTATTTTCCAGAGCACCAGAAGGCAAGACAAGAAACAATGGATGGAAACTAATCAAGGAGAGAAGCAAGCTGGAATTAAGGAGAAACTTCCTAAAAGTGAGGACAATTAACCAATGGAACAGCTTGCCTTCAGAAGTTGTAGGTGCTTTATCACTGGAGGTTTTTAAGAAAAGAGTGGACAGCCACCTGTCTGAAATGGTATAAGGTCTCCTGCTTCAGCATGGGGTTGGACTAGAAGACCTCTAAGGTCCGTTCTAGTTCTGGTTGATTGATTTCTCATTGCAGCTATATTTGAACTTAGTTATAGAGGGACTTGGAGATACAGCAGCTATAGCTATTCAATTAAACTGAACTCTGATTCCAAAGAAGAATCTCTCTCCAAATAAAATAAAACCAATACTGGATTAAGATTGTAATATCAATGATGGTTTCTTGCAATGGCAAATTTCAAAGCTTTTTCCCCACTGGTATTTCATTTCCAGAAAGACTTTTTTTTGTTTTGTTTTGAATTGTTTGGTAACATCTTATGAGGAACAGAATATTCATTCTGACTTAGAGGAATCAGCAGAAGAGGGAGAACTGTTGGCAGAAGTAGGATGCTAATGCAGCTAGTCTGTTAAAACTAGCTGCCATCCATTTGCTGGATTTCTTCTGTTCTTTCTCCCCCTCTCTGTCTTCTTATAATATCTTTGTAATCATAAAGGCTTTTAATCACAAAGCAGCTGGTCATGGTTGAACTCATGCAGCAAATACAACAAAGTGTTTTAAGGCAAAGCCTAAACAAACTTACTAAAAAGTAATCTTTAATGGATTAGAATCCATTTCATTCCAAAATGAAGAGCAGAAAATGTTATTCTAAATGAGACACGTGTTGGGGGAAGGAATTGTAAGAAGCAAATTTAGAGGGTAATGAAATGTAAAAATTGAAATCTGTGGCATTCATAATAGATTATATACCACCATCCATTGCATATACTTGTAAACACTGAATTCAGATTCTTTGCGACGTTTTAGTATAGTGCATACATTGTATAAAGATTATGCTTATTTCAGGGCTTGTTTTCAGTATCTCAGTTTGCATGTACCATGTTCTTTTTGAGACCCTTCCCCTTTAAACTTGCTTGCTTAAGACAAGACCAGAGGGATACATTTTCTAAAGTGCTTTGTTCATATTTTTTTTAATTCCTTGAGAAAAAAACACATCATCCTTCTTTCAACAGACTCTAAGGAGAACAAAAACGATTCCAGCAAAGAGTTAAAGTGTATGTGTGTCTGTGTTTGTGTGTATATATGCACATAGACATGCATGCATATACAAAAATAAATGAATTAACAATTCTTTAATGTTTAAGATTTGAGCGTGTTTGTGACCTCTGTGTTCTGAAGTTTTACGTCTAGGATAATATATCCTTAGTGCTTCCCTCTGTAGGTACTGACAAAAATAATCATGTATGCCATTCTTTTCTGAAATCGCCACATATTATGGTAGATATGGCACTTAGGTTTTGAATCGCATTAAAAATACATCAGTGTTAAAGGGACAATCTGGAATGTTTCTGCAGAGTTATTTTTATGAATCTTACACCATAACACTTCGCAGAACTGCTTAGTTATGTTTCTATAACTGGGAAGTCAGTGCATTTGCAGTCACGTATGTGTAAATCATGCATTATGAACACACTGATGGTGTGGTGACTAAATTAGTCATATTTTGTTGCAATTTTCAATCTTGGCAGGTGGTGGCTCTGGGCCTGTGCTTCGGAGAGAAGGCCTACTTGCGAAGCAGTTGGAATGTGCTGGATGGAGTTCTGGTCCTAATCTCTGTGGCTGACGTCCTGGTTTCAATGGTTTCTGATAGTGGAACGAAAATTCTTGGAATGCTAAGAGTTTTAAGGCTTTTGCGAACTCTTAGGCCATTAAGGTAAAAAAAATCTGAGTGATGCAGAACTGGTATAAATTAGGAAAGGAGAAACTAATGAACTTTGTGATGGATACAAAACATGAGGCAAGGACATTTTAACAAATATTAGCAGTCTGCCATAGCAATACCAATAGCACTTAGACTTATATACCGCTTCACAGTGCTTTACAGCCTTCTCTAAGTGGTTTACAGAGTCGGCATATTGCCCCCAACAATCTGGGTCCCCATTTTAACGACCTCAGAAGGATGGAAGACTGAGTCAACTCTGAGCCAGTCAGAATCAAACTCCTGGCAGTGGGCAGAGTTTGCCTGCAATATTGCACTTTAACCACTGGACCACCACAACCATGCCTATAGCACTAAGCTATCTATAGTTCATACACTTTGAAAAGCAAAAACTATGGTTAGTATTATAGGCAAACTAGGCCAAACACAAAGGATGTTAGAGAACTGTGAATGAAAGATGATTCTGATAATACAGGCTGGTAATTAAATAAAAAGCCAATTATTGAAAGAGTTCTTGAACACCTGTCAGAGATAATTGACACTGTACCACTTCAACATGAAGTTGGTGCAAGCAACTTATTGCTCAGGTTAAATAATACATGGGATTTATCTGCACAGAAAGTGCAGAATCAGACCTTTGTTTTTTGGGGGAGGGGTATTTTTTGTTAATATAATTGTGTACATAATTGTGACTCAGATGCTTACACTTTCTGATAAAATGTATATCAAGTAAACAGCAAAACAAAAGCAAACAAAGCAAACAAGAATTTCAATTTTTGAGAGGTAGATTTTAGGTACTGTAGAAAACATGCCTGAAGGGCTATACGCTAACTGTTAATCCCCAATATATATTATCCTAATGTCTTTTATATTCTCACATAGTTACTGTGTCTATGGCCCCTTTGAGTCTAATTCACCAAAAACATCTGCTGGCCTGAAAGAAAAAAATGGGTGAGCTGAGGGTGCCTAAGTTTTATCCACAGAATCTTCTGCAATCTGAAAATTACATAACTGAGATGTGTAGAGGTTTACATATTACATTGCCAAAAACAATCTGGTTTTATGAGTTAACAAAGCTTCCAGAAGATATATATGAAAGAATGAGAGTCATACATATTTCAATAGAATAACAGAATTGGAAGGGACATTGGAGGTCTTCTGGCCCAACCCCCTGTCAAGCAGGAGACCCTATACCTTTTCAGACAACTAGCCGTCCAATCTCTTCTTAAAAACCTTCAGTGATGGAGCACCCACAACTTCTGGAGGCAAGCCTTTCCGCTGGTTTATTGTTCTCACTGTGAGGAAATTTCTCCTTAGTTCTAGGTTGCTTCTCTCCTTGTTTAGTTTTCTTTAAAGGCTAAGGCAGGATTGCCCTGAGACCCAGTTCATACAGGCAGTAATCCAGTAGAAATTAAATATATGATCTCTGTAGTTTTCTGCAATAAATCATTTACAGTAGTACTTTTCCACATAGTTCCAGCTGATTTTTGAAATGGCAACCTAGGTCTTGATGTCCAGGTCAGGGCTTCACTCATTGAATAGCTTGCTAGCTGGAGATTTAGGATCATCTATCCACATGAATAGCTTGCTAGCTGGAGATTTAGGATCATCTATCCACATGAATAGCTTGCTAGCTGGAGATTTAGGATCATCTATCCACATGAATAGCTTGCTAGCTGGAGATTTAGGATCATCTATCCACATGAATAGCTTGCTAGCTGGAGATTTAGGATCATCTATCCACATGTATACACTCCCCGTGTATTTTTACAGCAGCAGGCTGAGGCAAAGAGGCAGTCTCGGAACCAGCGAAACCTGGGCGCTGGACAGGGGACAGATTGTATCTGTCCTCAGTGTGGAAGGGACTGCCATTCTCGAATTGGCCTTTTTAGCCACACCAGATGCTGCCTTAGGACGTCTTTCCAAAGCACGATACCATAGTCTCTCGAGACTGAAGGATGCCAATGAATGCTGACACTGCCCGTGTCTGCTATAAAAATTGCGCCTAGACTGGGAAAAAGTTTCATTTAGAGAAACTTTGATTGGAACAACGTGTCTTACCCCCAAATAGCCAGTCTTCCTCCACTTTTAGGAAGGCATTTTGAGATGCAGAGATTAGCTTACCCCATGGGTGGCCTTGTCATGATTGGTCCTTAATACATGGGACTTTTTTTAACTTCCTCTGTTGGTATTCGGTAAGCTGCTTAGAACCTGTGGGAATTTAGTGAAGTAGAAGCCTAAAGAAGGAAAGAACTAAATACAGTATACACAATCATTGTAGAACAGTGTGCATGTATTACTGCAAATACTGTACTTGTATTGCATTTTTTAGAATTTCCTTGCAGAAGGGTTTAAAGCAGCTGCCATCAGAGTGTAACAGCAATCCACATCATTAAAATAATAAAATACGCAATGTGATTATTACTATGAACAGCATAAGGGAGAAAAGGTTTAAAAGAGTCTCCATTTGCCATCAGTTACACAAATGGTTTGAAAAAATGCCTCTCTTTCTATATATAAATATGAATTTTATCAGCAAGAATCCTAATGGGGGACTATTTAAAAATTAGAACTGCATATACTAATTTATATGTTCAATTTCTATATTTTCTTCTTATTAAATAAACTAAGTCAGTTTAAACCTGCATATTTATTTAACTATATGACTCATAATGACTATAAATATAAATCTAGTTCTGATTTTATAAGAGGTATGCTTTTATGGAACTTTCTTCTGTCTGATCTCATATTTTCCTTTCTTTTTGCACATAATTTTTAAGAAAGACTCAACAATTTAAGTAGCAGCAAGGTCCAAAGCTTGTTATAGGGGCAAGAGAACAGGTAACTGAAATAAACACAGACAAATTCATGATTGCAAATTGTTGTTCAGGTCTTTCAGAAAGATATTGGCTACAGACTTAAAGATACACAGCAGAAAGAGGGAATTATTTTTCCTCTTTCTCAGAGAGCATTTATTCCAGAGTAGCGACCCCAGTGGGGACAATAACTACTAGTGGCCACAGCATCTTGGGAAGCGCTATTACAATGTTTCTATAGGCTCCTTGTGTAGCGATATTTCCTGCAGCCAAAGCCATCCTTTCAGCAGCAATTACAATGTTTGGTGAGCTACCTTCACACACTGTGCTGCCCCACTCACTCACACACACAGGTAACTGGGGTTTAGTGAGTTATTAATATTTCCCAGCAATTCTCTTCACCAAAAATTAGAACTCTCCCAATTAAGTCCAGCCATGAGCAGGCCAAAATTAGTACACAGAGCAATGGCCTACTAGTCCCCAAAGCAATTGAAAGTTGCTCAAACAAAATAACTTCACCAGGCAAAACTTAAATCTACACACAGGTGAACTCATGACAAGAAAAGTTCAAAGTCTTCAAGGCACAATTCCAAACACAGTGTCAATTCAGAACAAAGCAAGAATCACGATGATCAAACAAACAGCTAGAAAACTAACACGCTGTTCCCAGGAATGCGTTCCCAGTTTTCTGGTGCAGCCCATCAAGACAGGCAGGATCTTCTCCTCTCAAGTAGTCTGGCTGACCTCCACTGCTCCTGCCTTTTCTCTGCCCTGCGTGTTCTCAGATCAGGTGCAGAAGACAGTTCCTCCTCCTCTTTGCTGGCCATCTGCCACTGCAAACTTTCCCCAGCTGAAGCCTCCTCCAAATCTCTTTTGGACGTTCACAGCCATCAATCAACCCAGTTCCTGACATGCTAGCAATGGGCTCACCCTCCTCTGAGCCGACTACTGAGGAGGAATCTGGGGAGTCGCCCAAGGGAGATATCACACACACATAGACAGCCCTGTCAAGAAATGCCATCTCTGTTGCTGTCAGTCTTGCCAGGTACTCCATATAGGAAGCATGACCAGATGGACTAATTCTACTTCATTGTAAGGTTACATTAACAGAATCTTGCAAGTCTGAAAATACAGCTCTCTCCCCATCACCTTTATTGCCCAAGAAACTAGGGAGGGGCCCTTCTGAACCATTTAACATGCTCATTTTTTTTCCATTGGCTCATCTGCCTCTTATCCAACTGTTCTCATGGATATGGTTCTTCCGCCTGTTTCCCAAGATCATTCCTACAAACCATTATAGTTGCCATTCTATAAGATTGTCTAGTTTTCCTGGCCATTAGTTGTCTTTCATTGTCCCAGAAGATTTTTTTTTCTTCCTAGCCTTTTCCCACAAGTGCAGAGTCTGGTTTTTTCACATCAGCTGAGTGCTGATCCATTGGTTGCAACAGGAATTGACTGGCTGGCTTGTTGCTCAAGCCTGAAGTCGTAGGCTGAGACAGTGACTGGCCCATTCACCCAGCTGGCTTTCATGCCTAAAGCAGAATTAGAACTCACAGTCTCCTGATTTCTAGACTGGTGTCTTAAACACTAGGCCAAACTGACTCTCTCATTGTTCCAGAAGAATGCCAGGGATATTTTCCTGCCTAAATCAGATTACAGGTACAATCAGATACAAAGTACAGGTTTTGCTCCTGTCTTCCAGTTCTGTCTCTTCAACCACAAAGTATAAAATGGCATATTCTTAATCTGCATAATCTTTATACCATACTATCCAGATGAATCCCTTTTTCTAGAAATTTACCATAACAGAAAAGGAGATAAAGGGGAAAAACTTGAATATTTAAATATAGGTTCCATAAAAATGGAATGGATTTTCAGCCAGTTTCCATCTGATATTATTCCTTGTTTAATTGATAAAAGCTTTATAGTTGAGCAGAGCAGGATTATATGAAATATAGGAACAATATTCTCACTTCTATTTTCTTCTTATCCAGAGAAAGGTCTGTGGGGATAAATCATTTATCTAGACTGCCTTTATGAAACTGACATACTTTATTCTGGAAACATAAGAATTGATGAGGAGTTTGTTTATTAAGGCTTGTGGTATATATGACACCACACTGAAAGCCCTTTAAGAAGAAGGGAAGGGCAGGATAACAACTATTTATCAAAAATTCC